AAATCTATGTTTAAGTACCTTATATGTTCCGTGATAAATGAAGGAAGAAGTGTATATTTTTATTTCTATCTTACCTTATATATTCCGTGATAAATGAAGGAAGAAGTGTATATTTTTATTTCTATCTTTTAGGACATCATCTGACCAGGAAGTTATTCTTATGGAAACTTCCCTGTGCATGAATTTATTTAAGCCTTTTCATTTACCACACAAAGAGGCCATCATTTTATTTGAATGAATTTCATTATGACACTGAGACAGACTTCAGGATAATAGAAGTTCTTTTGTTTGCTAAACGGACAGGAACGGTACATTTATTTAGCAACCTAAGGTATGACAAATTATGACCGTTCAATTTTTTCAAAGCTTGACAGTAAATGATTTTTTAAGCATAAAAATTTTGTCTTTTACAGAAAACTATGAAAGTGCGTTCGTGGTTTTCAGCCGTTCTCAGAACGATTCTTATCCCGTTTTCAACTGCTGAAGCAGAAGTGAATTCCGAAGAAAACGAAAATGATGCGAACGAAGAGATATCTCCCACACTGACCTTTGCACATTTGGTATCTTGCCTCTGTGTGGTGCTTGGCATTTATTCCGGGAAACAGACGACGGACGATACCGCACGGTTTGTTGTGTGGGGATTGGTCATAGGCCTTGTCGGGTGCGGATTGTTGGCCTTGATTGTCTTAATATGTTCTAACTCGTTCGTGCAAAATCAACGTGACAAAGAAGTGCCAAAAGACTATTCTCTAAATTTAAGAGTTGTTTTTCTCTGGCTCTTTGGACTTGGTGTCATTTTGAAAAGCGCTGTCTACATCGCTATCAAAATAGAATGTTTTTCAATATTGTCTCAAGATTTTATAATGTATGTCAGTATCTTTAGTACAGTCCTTTTTATTTGTTTTATTGTTTTGCAAATGGGAACCATAACATATTACAGAAACTATCATTTCAGAAAGTCAACTCGAATTAATTTTGCAATCGTATTCCTTTCGCTGGCAAATTTTGCAGTGTGGTTGAATTCTGTTGTTAGCAATTTAAATGGAATTTATGCCACAAATCCCAATGAAACCACACACATGAAAATTTTCAAAAACGAATCAGAATGCTTCTTTAGTTCTAAAATCAACAAAGGGTTAGCACAAAAGCTCATCCCCTTCTTTTTGTTGCCAACTCAGGTGGAATTTTTCATCCTAGCATCAAGTTTTGTGCTGTCATTTTGGCATTCCTCGTCAGAGCAACGAACTGAAATTGATCTAGAAGAGACAGGAACAATTTCCGAGGAATCTCACGAACTTTTACCGCTCTTGCCTCGCAGTACTGAAAATCGGGCCAGTAACGTTGTTGTTATTATGATTTCCGTCATCCTAAATCTGCCTACGTTCCTGACTTGGCTTCTCCTTTCGTTCGTGTATACAGACAACAATATAGGACTTCGCAATGCATATGAAATCTGTAACTGTATCAACGCTATTGCGACCATCACAATTGTTTACATTGCGTTCGACCATTTATCGAAAACTTATTCCATGAGTAAATATCAGCGTTCTCTGACAACGAGTGAAATAATTCTTGTGTTCAGCTCGGCTGGAGTTGTCGCATATAGTACCTACGGGCTACTTTTCGCTTTGCAAGGAAATTTTGAGGAACATTCATCCGTCTTTTTACGAAACTTTATTGAGATAATAGAGACCTTTTTACAAACATCTCTTTTGATACAGTGTCAGCGCTACATATTATCTGAGCGAAGATCCTCACTTCTGTCTTCTCTGGCATTAATTTTGACGATAACAAACTTGATTAATTGGTTTCTCTACTCCATATATCAAAATATACCCGCAGAAGGACAGGAGAAAATTGTTGGTAATCGGCGGAATTGGGCATATGTTCAAACCATTCTTGTGCCATTGCTTATCTTCTATAGGTTTACATCTGCTATGAATTCGTACTCGCTCTACCATCAGATTAAACCTTGATTTTATATAATTGATGTAAATCTTTTTAGAAATAATTTCCGAATAAAAGATATGTAAATATATTAACGTTTATTTTAACTATAAGAACTATATGTACAGACACATGCCATATAAGTTATCAGCAAATATGGCGTAACAGCGTTTGTTTACGTTGTGTTACGAGATTGATTAATTGGAAAATAAACATAATAAAATGACATCACTGTGTTAAATATTTTGTCATTTCTCCCTTCACCTTGATTACTTTTCCTATACGCCTTGGTAAAGACCTGTAGAAGCCCCGTATCTCATCGTCATGGAAGATTATGCACCCCCAAATCATATCACTAACCTTTCGTTGAGCTGGGGTGCACATGCACTCGGAAGCCTTGCTTCCTTACGACGCCATATGGAAAACCTTGGCTTTCGTAATAAAAATTGACTTTATCCCATTGACCATTAATATTCCACCTGACTTTACCTCTTCAACAGTCTTTTTTTCATGTTAAATTCTCTCACTCTCTTCTTTTCAACATGTCTGTGATACCCTTGTCGATACAAATATCGCTGAGCTGTTCGTCGAGACACTTGTCTGGGTCTGTGTTGATTAAATATTTTGGTTAAATCATCCAAAGGGATTTGACGGTTTGTCCAAACCAGTCTCACTGAAGATCTTCATCCCTGCATGGGATCAAGAATCCGTGGTCTCCCGCTTCGATGTATGTTTTCAGTGCTGCCCTTCTTTTTTTAATCCTACTATAACATCGGAAACTGTTAAACTGTTCCACAACGAATGTTGAGTGTATCAACAATTTGCTGTAATATACATGCATGTATACCCCTCATTGACAAAATAATATTTTTCACATCAGAGATCAATCCTTTCCTTTTTCTGCCATTTTTGAAAGAATCTATTAAAAATAGTGCAGACGACAGTCTAGCTTTCGGTAATTACGCAACAAAGAACGTCAGGGAATTCCAAAATCCTAAAAAAAAGAACAACTATACCGTTTGATTGTCAAGATTGTTGTTTAACATCCCTCTCGAGAATTTTTCATTTATATGCATGTAGACGCCACCACCTGCCGCGCCGGCATCATTTTCATGCCAAGCTAAGATAAATGTCACTTTTTTTAAAATCATGAAAAGTATTGAATTTTTACAATAAATTTTTGATAAATTTTTTGTTGGATTTATTGGTTTATGTTAAGTCAAGTGGTGGAGTCTATTATTGAAAAGTCATTAACAAAATATGTTTCCCTCTAGCTAACCGATCAAAACGAGAAATGGGAGGCACGGCGACATTATGTAAAAATGCTCCTGTGAAAGTCTCATTAAATTTTATTCAGTGAGATATCTGAAAAAGATATGATTACTACGGAGTGCTACGGAGATTCCTATTGTAGTTATATTATCGTATAGATAGAATGTTCTATCGTTAAAATGATATTGTTAGTTGAATTTTCGTTCATATTTGGATTCTATTTCAGGTTTAAAGGCATATGCAACCTCAAAAAGGTTTGTTACAATTCATTTGGAAGTTATTTTTGGTGTAAATTCATTTGTATTCTTCAAAATCGTGTCGGAGCGATGCTCCAATATTTTGTTACATTATGAGTATATGGGAGGTATTCTAACTGTGGTGAGGGCTTGTTCCGAGACAGATTATTCTTACTCTACATTGTATTATCGTAGACTGATTGACTGTATGTATTTTTTTTCGTATAATTGAATTTTAACGCATATAGAAAGGTTAACATATACCGATGAAGAGCTTCAAAAAGCCTTCACCCGGAACTACAGGCCATTGAGCAGTTATGTTTTTTTTTGTCTTTCCAATGCCTGTCGTGACGCGGAACCTCGGTGTTTACGTCTTTATGCCGAGTGCTTGGCGAAGGAACAGTTGCTACCTATTTATTTCAGCTAGCTTAGCTAGGCTAGCTGCAACCTTAATTAGTTATAAATGATTGGGATTTTCATGTCCCCCTACGAAGAAAGGAGGGGATATTGCTTTCTGCTCTCTGTCCGTAGGTCCACCATCAGTTTCCGTTCATATTCTTCATAACCGTTGCACACACTGAAATGAAATTTGGTATAGAGATTTATCATACGAATATCTAGAACAAGTTCTGTTTTAGATACAATCGAGCCATTTTTGACAGAGTTACGATGCCCTTTGGACTTTGCAAAATTCCAATGATTTGCCTTTTCCGTTCATTTTTTTTTTGCAGCAGTTGCTCATACTGAAATTAACTTTGGTATATAAGTTTATCATAAGAATATCTAGGTCAAGTTCTGTTTTGGATACATTCGAGCCATTTTTGACAGAGTTATGCCCCTTGGGTTATAAAAATTCCATTTATTTGGGGGAGGGGTCATACATGTAAGTGTTTTACAAACATCTCTTGTCTCTTTTAAAATATGTACAAATAAGTTAGGTGATGATGGAGCAGGAAGAGGTACAGATAAATACAGTTAATGGTGAAACATGCTCCTAAGTAACAACAGCTAAAAAGGCGTGTGTAAAATGTTACCCTTTGGGCGACCAAATCACACAAAAGATCGATATGAGATTGATTGTATGCTGTTTTAGGCCTATGTCCCATTAAAAAATATTTCATTAATATAGACTAGACGTCACCATATACCTGTAATTTTAGAGAAGTTTGAACACATTGACTTTTGAGCATGTACACAGGTAATAGGGTAACAATTTCTTTAAAAAAACCAAGGTACTATGAATGATGTCTGTCAAACAAAGTGATCTCAAAATATTTATCAGTCAAAATATTGATATATCGAGCTTGATCCTTGATATCTGATATCCTCAATTTCTACAGTATTCATTATGTTCTAAAGTATTGAAATGTTTAAACTGTGGCTATTAAAAGGAATTCATTTATGATAAGAAAGAGAACACAATTAGAGAACTACATGTACCAATCCTTTCTTTCTTATCATTTTTGAACTCGAATCTCATAACGTTCGTCCTTTAAACATGTTTGCTTTATATTTATGCTGAAATAATTTCGCTCTCATTTCATTTTCTACAACTGTGCAACATGCCGTTTTATCAGTATTTTATCTCTTGGTTTTGTACTTTGTGGTCTTGAAAGTGCAAATTGTAAGTAATTTTTATAATTTTAAATTATCAAATATTATTGGTAACTCTGTTCATCTCAAACTGTTCTAAATATAACCCGGTGAATCGTACGAAAAGAACGATCGAGACTACTTTTATTCCACTTCGTTGCTAAATTGGTTGGGTGTAAAATGATTTTTATGCGCCCGAGCATTCGCAGTAACTTTTGAACCATAGGAGAAGAGTGCATATTTGGTATGCATACTCCACTGATAAAGTCCTTTCATACGACAGCAAGTTCAATGACCTTGTGACCTTGACTGTAACCTATATGCTAAAAACAGCTTTTTCGACCTTTTGAACCATACGAGATATATACTTTATATTTGGTATGCATATTCTACTAATTAAGTGCTTTCAAATGACACAAAGTACAATGATCGTGCCACCTTAACTGTGACCTATTTGCTAAAAATTGCTTTTTTTAGAACTTTGTTGCCATCGGGCGCATAGTGTTTCACAAACACATCTTGTTTTTTTTTCTTTTTGTAATACAATATGCAATCATATTATTTTTTCCTTTGAATGAAAAGAGGTTTGAAATTATAGATTTTGCCATATACTGTATATACTTCTAAGCCTATAAATGCAACATACTAGTATTTTCGATGTCGATCAAGATCTTCTGAAATATTTTGCTACCTTCCTAGATCACGTGGTCTGTAAAAAGACAAGCAAAAATCTGAATTATAGTACAGTCATACCTCTTTCCACGATTATAAACGACCACAAGTAGCGCTTGCCATCAAACAGTTATTGACCTGTTTTTTTTCTAAAGGTAACCATTTACATTTAAAAAAAAACAACAATAATTGTAGGTTTAGATTGCCAGCCTGGTTGGAATCAGTTTCAGAATAAATATATGCTATTGGTTCAGTCATACAGCTAGGCCATGGGGAGAGGCTGAGGTATGCAAAGAAACATGTACAAAGCTATTATAATACAAAGTGTAATTCAAGTCATCTGGCTGTCTTGTTCTGTAAGTGTTTATACAGTTTGTTTCCTACATTAAGATATATGATTTTACCATTCAAACATAAACTTTTGAAACTTAAAAAAACTGAACTTTTAGTTTTACGAGAGTTTTTTTTATTCTATTTTGTGATAAAATAATATATTCTGTAGGCTATATGTGTTGGATTTAAATATATTCTGTAGGCTATATGTGCTGGATTTCATTCAAAGTTGGCGGAACCTAGGACTTAGTGCTGAATCATCTTTTCTCATCAGCCATTTTCAAAGTCTTCATGAGTAAAGCATTATTTCTTTTCCCCAGGAAGAACTTCTAAGAAATGTATGTAGCTGCATATTTTTTATGGCCACTCAGGTGATTTTCTCTTCGAATTTCAGCATGTATGGGTGAAGAGGCAATAAAATCTATGAATTTCATGACCTCCCTTCCCAGGGACTTAAGAATAGGATTAAATCCTTCAAAATCGTATTAAAAGTCTTCTTTACTTCAGAACATCAGAAATTTAAACTGTTGGCTTGATTGTAATAAGCACTGAATCATTTTCCAAAAGTGTGAAAGTAGGGATAGGGCTCTATAATCATATCATCGCTATAGCTTGCCAAAGGTTTATGATACATTACTCTCCTTATAAACTCGTTGAATTGCGAAGAATTTATTTATTACTAGATACGTTGTTTGTTTAACGTCCCTCTCCAGAATTTTTCACTCATTTGGAGACGTCACCACTTGTCGGTGGAGAGCTGCAAATTTTATCCCATGCTTGCCTT